TTCGTGCAGCGCCAATAGAGGGCAGGGAGGCATGGCTGCAGTTTGGAGAGGCAGGTAGGGCTGGCAGAGGCTCCTAAATGGGCCTGGGGCTACAGACAGAGCGATCAGGGGTGTGTGTGTGTTTGCGTTGTAGAGCATCAGGGTGTAATGATGAAGCAATATGCAAACTGGCATTAGCATGCCCGGGTGGGTGGGTGTCTCCCACCCAGCCCTGCCCTCCTTCTAACGCTCTCTTGGGCTGTGAAGAGGAGAGCCCTGGAAGGCTGGCGGGGTGGGGGAGGAAATACAGTGCCTTGCTTGGCACAGACATTGGAGGGAGTGTCTTGCCCATCTTCCCGGCAGCCCAGTACAAAGGACCCAGGCAATGAGTTCCTGGGAGCAGCCCAGAAAGCTAGAGCTGGAGAAAGACAGAGCCTGCCTGAGTAGAGACCACAGAGGGACCCAGTCAGACCCATGTCGAGTGCACCCAGCGCCAGCTGCAGACAGACAGACAGAGACAGACATAGACAGAGGACACCTGCGCTTGTGGGAGCTGGAATTACAGGCATGGCTGTAGATGCTGGTGCTGACCCTGTCTGTGCCCTGCCCACAGTTGAGTGTGTGAGTGTGTGTGTGTGTGTGTGTGTGTGTGTGTGTGTGGTGGCAGCTGTGGCCTCTATGGCCTGATTGGCCTTGTGGGGCTGGGGGAAGGGACAGGATCGGGAAACAGAAACAGACCTCTGAGGCTGGGTGGGGAGGAGCGAAGACAGGATGGAAACTGCCAGCTCCAGGCTGCGAAGTTTCCCGGTACCAGTGGGAGAGGTTCTAGGTGGGCTGTTACAGTGGATGGGGTTGTGTGCAGCTGTGGTGGGGAGCCCGGCTAGGCAGGGCTGGCGCCCTAACTGGGAGGCAGGAGCCGCTGGTGGGGCTGTGCCCAGGGCTGGTTGCCACCCTCTGCAAGGAGTCTGACGCAGAACAGCCTAAGGCAGCGGGACTTGTTTGTGGGGTCCATCGGAGGCTGAAGGGGGTCAGGGTTGTGCAGGCAGCACTCGGAGTCAGCCGTAGGAGTTCGCCACCCGGCCCTTGGCTAGGCCAGAATGCTTGCTGGCTTTCCCTTGTGCTGGCTGGGAGTGCAGAGCTCCATTTCTTCCCTCCTCCCAGCTTCTGCCCAGGCCCCCTGCCCAGCCCTCCATTTAGAGTTTCTGGTCTAATTCCTGCCCAGGAATGTAATTACTTATCTTTCTGCCCTCACTCTGGGGAATGCAAGCAGCAAACTTGGCATTTCTGCTCCGGCCTCCGGAGCTGCTTCTCTGGAGATTGACTCCCAGCTGCCTCTGTGGCCGAAGGACCGGGTGCTTGCTGCGGTGGAGTCAGGTGAAGGGAGGCCGGGGCGCAGGCTCCCTGCTCTCAAGCGCAGGCTCTTTGCAGGCTCAGAGATGTGAGAAGCTGGGGAGCCTGGTCTGCTCTGTGGGAGGGTGAGGGGACCTTCCAGGAGGCCTGGCTGAGGAGGAGGAGGAGGAGGAGGAGGAGGAGAAGAAGCAGAAAGAGGAAAGATAGATGAAATGAGAACAGGGATACTGGTTGAACTAGGCAGCCTTCTGGTCCCCTAAGCTCTGGTTTGGCTAAAGGGGGGAACCTCTTTTCTTAGCCCTGCTCCAGCTCCAAAGTAAAATCACAGATGTGGGGTCTGGCCTCCAAGTAACAAGCATCTCCAGCCCATGGGGTGGAGCAGCCCTGCTTTTGTTGCCGGGGTTGGGGGTGGGATATAGCAGCTTGTGACCTCTTGGTCTGGGGTCTGTGCTCAGGGGCGGTTAGAGGAGAGAAGCCGCAATCAGAACTGTTTTCAGAAAGTGCCCACTTGGCTGTTGCTCTCTAGGGGGCCGCAGCCTGATGGGGGAGGCTGCTGGATGGACACAGAGCCAGAGAGCAAGGCACCATCTGAGATGGCCAAGTGGGGTTGGATTCTCCGCAGCAGCAACAACAATTTGACTGAGTGTGTGTGTGTGTGTGTTTGTGTGTGTGTGTGTGTGTCCGTTTCCTGTGGGCAGAGGTGAAGTTTTAGGTCCAAGTTATTTGAAGGGATCCTCTTATCAGATAATAGAATCTGGTCAGGGTTCAATTTCTGGCTCTGCCACCTCTGTGTTAGACACTCGAGCCCCGGTGTCCTCATCTGCTGAAACGAAACACTGCCTTGTGCCCTGCAGATGTGTGATGGCCGGAAGTTTTCCTGACCAGCCCCACACTCCTCAGATCTGAGGGAGTTTTCAGTTGAGGGGGTCCCCAAATAAAGAGAGGTCTTCAGAGATGCATTCAGCTCTCCTCAGCCCAGGGGGATTCATTGCCAGCATAGAAAGAGTCCAGGAAGCCTCCCCGCCCCCAAAGCTATGAAAACTTCCAGAATTCATAGTAGAAGGGGCCTGGTGCCTGCTTTTCTCCCTCTCTGTTTGTTCTGGAGTTTGATATGAAGCGGAGGCTCTGAGTTTAATAAGTGTCATTTGTTACCCTCCTCTGCCTGCGGCTTGAGTGTGAAATGTCCCCCCTGGACCCATCCCTGTGCCCTCTGACTTGACTGTGTCTCTCACTTCCCCACGGGTGACCCTACCCAGGATGGTGGGTGTCTGGCCCAGGCCACACGAAAGGAT